AAGTAGCAGAAAGTCGAGGGGTGGGGAACAGAAGAGTGATTCACAGATGTAAAAGAGGCAGACAGACATAAAGGTAGGGAAAAAGGTAAGATGAGTACTCTGGAAGGGGTCGAATATAACAAGCAGTTGGGCCATGGTATTTTGAAATCAGAAGTCAAATGCCGGTTAATAGACTTCTTTGCCGTATTAGTATACGTTGCCCAGGGTGCACCACGTGGAGGTAAGTCTATCGCACACCCCAGGACGACAATATAATAACCTGGTTTATCTATACAACTATGAAATGTTACACCAAACGGACAACTGGATATCTCGTTTAGAGAAGCACCTGAGCACATAGTTTACTGAATTAGTTTGATATCGGATAATTTAAGATAATTAGTGAAAGTAGAAATTGAATTCGATACATCAATAGAGTTCCAAGTATGTTGATACATGCCTTTTACTCGCAAATGTTGACAAACATGTCAATTTGTCTGTTATTTGGAAGTAGTAACTATTTTACCTTTCAGAGTCCATGATACCAACAAGCATTAACGGCTGCATGATGTGAGGAAATTTCTCAAGAGCTAACTCTGGTTAAACAAATCGGAATAGACTGTCATCTTTTTGTCATATACTTTAAAAACAGCAATATATATATATATATTGCGATTTTAAATTTATTTTCGAGAAGTTACCTGACGTATGCCTTCGGATATCAATAATGACTCAAAATATTACATAACTTCCTACTCAATTAAGGTTTAAGTATTCCTTCTTTTAATACCACGCTGGATGTTTAAAGCCATAGAAACTAAACTATTACATAATAAATCCATATATTTATTAATTTGGTTGTTCATACGAAATAAGGGTTAGCCAAAACCGTATCTACTTCCCCTGAACGATAGACCAAATATGATCTAAAATATTAAAGAAAGTACGTAAATCCAATCCAAATTTTATCAAAAAACTATGTAATATTGGACCAATTTAAAATGGTAGAACAGCTTTTTTAATTTTTTTTGACGTGTTTCCACGTGCCACAGATATCTTGTTGACAAGCAAAAAATGGTTGTAATAATAATAACCTGTCTAGTTTATTTACCTTCCTAGCACCCCTATCCAACTGAGGATGAAAAGCGACAAATTGCCAGCCAGACAAATTTGACCCTTTTGCAGGTCAATAACTGGTTCATTAACGCCCGACGACGAATTCTTCAACCCATGCTGGAGACCACGGGTCCCTACAGTTCCACCGGTAGGTCAGGCTCAGGAGAAGGGGTCTGTGGTTGGGGCGGGCACAAGAGCAAAAATGGAGACCAACCTCTGGTTAATAAAAAGAAAAAGGCTGCAACCACTAGGTAATTTATTATTAATCTATTATTATTAAACAATTAAACAATTTTAATCAAACAAGTTCTATTTTATTCACTTGAAATGACTTACTTCTTAACTTAATTTAACTAAATTGATATTAAACACAACTGCCAGTTAGGAGATAAAGTACAATAACGCAACGAATAATTAATTAATTAATTAAAATTAAAATGAAATGATTTTATTGTGGTAAAATTAATATTAATTGCCATTAAATAGGACATTAAAGTTAGTGTTTTCGTACTTGGTTCTTTCATTTGATTGTGAGTTGTGTAATAAAACTGATATGCTTGATCATAGACGTAGATTTCCCTACTTAAATGCATGTAATACAATTTATTTTCATTTATTTGAATTAAAATAAGCATCATTTATTTATTTATATCAAATGGCAGGCGTCTTGATGGTTATCATGATCCCTTTAGTTGACTTCAGGCTTCACAGAGGGGAAGGAACATCAAATTGAAAAAAGGTCAAGAGGAGGGGGGGGGGATAGGGACCAGAAGAGTGTTTCAAAGATGTAAAAGAGACAGACACAACGAATAGAGGAAAAAAGGTGAGGTGATTACTGTGGAAGTGGTGGAATATGACATACAATGGGGTGATGGTAATTTGAAGTCAGAAGTCATCTGCCGAATAATAGACTTTTTGCCGTTGCCTTCAACGCGGTGTCCCTTCAGCTAAAGTGCCTAAGAGCAAGAAGAATTAGGTTAGGAGACTCGTAATTCAAAAGAGCAGCGACCTAAACTTCATTTTCCACTACGAGCAGGGAAGAAGGCGATTGGGAGAAACCATAGGCACTTGTCATTCAACATGAAATTTCAAAGTTAAGAACGAATCCACAAATATGTAGCGGATTGCTACACTAGTAAAGCCTGACTGATCAAAAATCTCCGTGGCAGATTTTCTTACATCTAACTTGTGGACTCCCAGAACCAGTAAAGCTATAACCCAGCTAAAGAGGAAACAGACGTATGGCACGGAACACGTTTATTCGGTAGGGTTATTGTGAGTAAAGTGTACACGCAGGGAGCTTAATCATGATCAGGATGGCGGATTAGGTTAAACAAACGGAGGCTGCTAATTGGCCACTGTTTGTACGGTCGCTGCACATGGAGTTGTACGGCCGCACCTCTCAAACCTGGCGTGCAGGCATGCGATGACATGTCCCACAAATACTACAATCAGACGAATTTTAGATTACTCACAAAAGTATTCGTTAACACTATTAAGTAATCCAATCCATTATAAAACTATTAAGGCGAAGTTAGTGTGTTACTTATTTTTTATAAGCAGAATGTATTATAAAGTTAAAATGGTCTATGGTGTAGCGGATTGCTACCTTAGTAAAGCCTGACTGACTCAGAAATCTCTATGGCAAATTCTCCAACATCTAGCTAGACTCCCAGAATCAGCTAAGCTATAGCCCAGCTATGAAGGAAACAGACGTTTAGCACGGAGCACGTTTATTCAGCAGATAAACCACGCAAGAAGTGTCTACAGGAAGGAAACTCAGTCATAC